ACACTGAGGAAAAGTAACGAAGCATTAGAATACAAAACCATGACGTACATTTTAATTACAAAATGTCGAAACTTGTTCCAGTCTGGGAACATAAACAGAACAAACCCTACAAATCCAACACGCCTAAACATCACGTACACACGCTCACAAAGGATTTGATTGTAGAAAATCTGAAACTTTCCCAATCTAATAATTTAAACACGAAAAACGATATCAAACGTCACTAATAAAATCCCAAAAATAACAATTCTTTGATTGTTAGACATCATACGTCACCGTCTAAATTGCCCAGAAAATTTCACATTCAGCACGTAAAGAAATATTCCACTTTCATTTTCATCCACTTCCACTTTCAAGAAATTCCTTAAAAGAAAAAATATTATTGCGCATAAAACAAATTCCTTAAACAAGAAAACAATAATTACTCTACGTGGAAGAACGAATTCCTTAAAAAATAAAAAACAAAATTGCTCTCAATAAAATAACAAATTACCTCAAGAAAAAGGAGAATTACTCTACGTGGAAGAATAAATTCCTGTAAAAAAAATAACTCCACATAAAGTAACAAATTTCCTAAAAAAGGAAAAACGGAATTACTCTACGCGGAAGACTCAATTTCTCGAAAGAAAAAAAAAAAAAAATAATAATTCCCCATAAAATAACAAATTGCTTCAAGAAAAAAGGAGAATTACTTTACGTGGAAGAACGAATTCCTTAAAAAATAAAAAAAAATAACAAATTCCCTAAAAGAGGAAAAACGGAATTACTCTACGCGGAAGAATCAATTGCTTAAAAAAAAGAAAAAATGATGCTACATAAAATTAATTCCCTAAAGATGGAGAAGAAAAAAGGAGTATACATACGCCGCACATTCCACCCAAATTTCGAGGACGTCATAAAAAGTGCACGAGTACAACCATTTCCCTTGCGTACTCTCCAGAGATCGCTATCGATCGTCGGGAAGGAACGAAGAAAAGCAAGCTGCGATGCATCGCGAGTCAGCATCGCACATGTCTGGGCCGCAAGACGGGAAGAGATCCGCGTCTTTTTGCTCGCGGTGTAGAGGAAAGTGGACGCGCGTGTAAGAAAGTGCAGCGGTGCGGGACACGCGTTGCAACGCTCGTCGTAACGTCCAGGCGTGAGTAATCGAGTCGCGCAGCTGCTTTTACCGGAATCCGCCAACGCCAAGCAGTCTGGCCGCATCTCGAGCGGCTCGCTCCGCCAGCACCAGTGGCATCCGGTTTGCGGCGCGCGACCGGCTTTCGCCATGGCCGCTTCGTGGACTTCGTCGATTTCGTAACGAGAAGCCAAAAGATTTCCATACGATTTTGCCACAAAACTACCGCAAAAGTCGAAAGATTTCCATGCAATTTTGCCACGAAATCACCGTAAAAGCGGAAATATTTCCATGCGATTTTACGACAAAACTACCGGAGAAGCTAAAATAATTTCGATTCCCTATTGTAACGAAAAGTATCGAGAAATCGAAAGATTTCCGATTTTGTATCGGGAGCCCCAAAGAATTCAAAAAATTTCAACGAAAGGATCACGGAAGCCAAAAGATTTTGATTCACGTTATCGTTCCTATTTTTGTATTTAGGTCGAGTTGCATAGAGCTAGATCGAAGGAATTTTGAGAAGTTGGAATAGGGAGAATTTTGGTTTCTTTTTTGGGAGCGTTGAGAGGTATATTGGAAGGGAAATATATTAACGTTGGGTGGCGATAAGTCGGAATGTTTTTGGGTATTTAGGAAAGTTATTTTGGACTTGATAGTGGGCTATTTGGGCTATCTGGGATATTTGAAAATCGATGAAGTTTGGAATGGCGAATCATTATTTATTTGAATTCTATTTTTCAATTCTGTTTCTCAATAATGATCTTAATATATGTATACAATGGTATTTTGAGACACATTTTCAGTGACGATTTGATATTACTTTTTATTTTAAAATTCGTTCAGAAAATATATTATTTAATCGAGTTTTTAATTTTTCCATTTAAATTTTTGAGAATTAGAGCATATTCAAATTACAGTTTGCGCTAAAAACCTGTTGGCACAATAACAGTTAGAATGTTTTAGAGGTATTTAGGGTCGTTATTTTGGGCTTGGCGTTCGAGAATTGTCAAAGCTTGGAACGGAATCCTTAATTACTTGGATTCTATCTTTTAATCTTTTAAATAGACATGGCTGCAACACGTATAATATTTCCCGACATATTTTCGATACCTCTCTAATAAAATCAATTAAAATCCTGATCAAATATTACTGAACGTATCAGATAATATTTCTAAGAAAGAAAAAAGTAAGGAAAGATGACGTAATTTTTGTCATTTATAATTATTCAATATAATTCGATAAACAAAAGTATAAGTTCCAATTTGAAAACATTAATTTTATATTCTAAATATTCGTGATAATATAACAAAATTCTAATGAGCTAAAATTCGTAGAATTCGTGGATTAACCACTTGAAATTGGCGAGAACCGCTAACTACGGAACTCACGGGATCAAGTATCGACAACTACAAATTCGTAGACACCATTGATTATGGAACTCCTGGGACCCGACATCGAGGACACCGAATTCGTGAATACCAACGACCTCCAGACTCACCACACACGACACAAATAATTCCGCACTCGTGAAACTCTACATAAATGTCTCTGCTCTCTTGAATCTTAATCCCAACGACCTTGAATCCGTATAATTAGACGCAAACCACTCGAGTCTCCAAATCAACCTAAATTCCGAATCCGCAATGAAACCGTGCTATCTCAGCTTTTAATTAACACTTTCACGCATTAAAACTTTCGTAGTAATGATTAAATTAATTTAAAATCAAAATTAATTGTACAATTTGTCGATATTATTCTTCTCCTAATTCACAATAAATTAGCATCCTTGAAACAGTCAATTATCCCCTTTGAATAATTATTACGCTAATTTAAACACCCAACCCATTCTGAAATTCAGGTCTATGTCATTCTTGTACTTTCAATTTTCCGATAAATTTTCTAATTTTCTAATAATTATGTAGGAGATGGATATTTGATTGGTAGTGAAGATATCACTTCAAATATTTCTTTTCCAAGAGTGAGGATTATTTTGTACAATTGTCTGCTCTATGGGTTCAAGTGGAGCGCTCGGTAAGAACTTCTGTGGTTCCTACTGATGGTCTTGGTGTACCTATGGTGCTGGCCTTTTGGTATCCCCTTGATTATCGTGGTGCTATGATAGAGTAGCAGGTAGAAGGACGACAGGAAAAGGAAGAAATGCGTCAGTAAGGCTTACTAACACGCCCTGCCTTAGACTCCCCGCCGATACTTAGGTGGCATAAGAACTTCTATTTAAGGGAGCTCGAGTATTCACCGAGCACTTGCGAGGAAGCCTTCGAATCTCCTTCAAGTAAGAATCCATCTATTGGCGAGGGTGAAGACGTTGGTCGCTACAATTATATTTCCAACAACTATATATTCTTTTTAATATTAATTTTAGAACTTGAGTTCATCGATACCACTCTTCTACCATGCCAATACTTATTTCGACTTATTTCGTGCATTTTTATACCACGATATATATTGAAATTTAAAAAATCCCCAAATATTCATCTATTCGGTGTAAAAGAATAAGGAACACGTATGCCATAAAAGAAGATAGCTTAAACGATGTTTGATCGCGGGAATACCGGCTTTCGACAGCGTAAATCAATCCTTGAAGAGCGAAGGATAATATTTGCCTTGCACCGATCGTGGGTAACCAGGGGCTAGCGTAAATCGAGCGTAAAGATGAAGCGTATCTTGATTCCTCGGAGATTGAGCGGTAACGTATGATACGGGATTCTCAAACGGCTGCCAACACGGAAAGATGAATGAACGGACGTGAATGGAAGGAAACGCTGGAAATGCTCCGAGACATGATTTCACGGGGTTGCTCGGCGATAGAATTCGTCCTGGTTATGAATTCTTCACGGACCCTGATGGCGAAGAAATCCGATGTAATCGAGGCTTGTAATCGCGAAATCACTGAATTTACGCACGTCATTCTCCGTTCTTGCGAAAACGAAGATGTGACAGACAACAATGAAATTAGACTCGTGAGATAAAAATAATAAAAAATTAGAGTGACGATGTAGAACAGTAATAGAATAAATTAAACAGGAACCATAAACGATAGATGTCCCCGTTATCTCATGTGTGGTTCTCTAATCGATAATCTGAATCGTGCCTCTAAAGGAAAATGGTCGTATATCCTGCATAAGGTCAATTATTCGGCATACAAAAATTAATCCAAATATTCAAGTGTGAAACCAAAGCAATCCAATCCATTCATTTGTTTGTATATGTACAATTTATATTGAGAAACATTTATAATATATTGTTTGTCTAATTCATTCAAAAACCACGCGTTATTCCTTTTTTTCAACCTTATTCCAAGAGACGAGATGAAAATAATTAATATTCTTCTCTCGTAACTAATTAATTCAGTACATTTCACAATTTTATGATTTTATGATAGCACACGAATAATTAAAGGGACCTAAAGACCCACGCGTAGCAATTTTTTTATTATAGCACAATGCTATCCAAAACAAATCCAAACAACGACCTTTTACTATATATTATTAAGGCAAGTAAATTAATATAGCAATTTCGTCGACACTTGCGTTAATTTCTAAATAAATAAAAATGCAATTTGTAAAAAGCGACCCAAACAGACTAACTGATAAATGAGCGTTAAGTGAAACACGATGGGAGAATAATATAGAGACTACGATGGTTATAATTTGATTGAAAAAAGCTACGATTAATAAGCTCCATTTTTATCTGGCTCTTGCATACTAATTCAACATCGCTCGATAAAAAAGGAAATAAAAGAATTGAAATTCGGAAAAATGAAACGATTCGATTGTAACCTTACCTTGGTCCCAATTCACGATTACGAGCCGATGGAATGAGAAAGAAATTGTGAAAAATAATATAGCTACAGTGTGCGACTTACTTTTCTTGCATTTTTTTCTGTCGCTCCTTATCCTTTTTTTTCCGTTTCGGTTTCAAGGCTGGATCGTACGAGTCTCCCTTCATTTGAAACTTTGCCCTCTGTACAGACAACGTTTTACCCCTGATTTGCGACTTATCCAAGATCTTTAACGCCAAATCCACCGATTCAACCTGAACAAAAAAAAAAAGAGAAAAAAAAACGGGAGGTTAATTAAATGCAGGAGACAGTGTCACGGGGAGATACGTAGTTAATAAAGACGTCTTAACGAAAGTTTCTTCGTCTCTTTTACCAGATTAAGTGGCACGAGAATCGTAATATTCTGAAATCCCTTAGGAAGATAATCCGTATTTAATCCAACGTGATTTTTCTCTTCTTTCGACCAATGAACGCAGGAATAACTTTGTCGATCTTGTATTTCCGTCCTTTTCTCACTGTCCGACATTTTTCTTACCCTATTATCTTATTTATCTTCCATTTCGTAGTACAATTTAATTTTTCTACCATTTTTGTATCATTAATCACATTCTCACGTATCTCTCAGCGTCCCACATTTGCCTCTAGCCTACTGTTTTTTATTTATACTTGTGTTTCCCCGTGCAGTTCAATGTTTACACAATTTTTCGATCATTTTTGTCCCGGATTTTTATTTCGTCTATCAATATTAACTTTTTAATTTGAAACTTTTATTTCAGCCTAAAAATTTTACTCGCGCAAGTATCACAGCTAATACCAAGGACCCAGATCTTGTGCAAAGTGTTAATTGAGAACGGTAAAAACACGAGTGAGGCCACTCCGTCGTCAATTTACACTCCACCATATCAATTAATTCGTCCTCGCCAGGCACAAATAAATTGACGTTGACTTTCAGACGACACCGATGATTTATGAAATCAGAGCAGCAGGAGAAGCGGCGCGGTTTTTGCAACACGTGCACCATCGATAATTAACGAGCAATGCAAAAAATGGCTGACGTTAAACGGCCTGCAGTTCACGGAAACGGAAGGTCTGCAGATTCGGCGAGTCATCCGAAGGCACTGACAAAAAAAAAGCTATTAATTTAATCATTCGTGACCTACATTTTACCCCACTGGAATCATTTTAATTACGAATCTTCGCGCAAGCTCAATCTCCTCGTGCGAAATGTATTTTTCCTGCGAATTTTTATCCTCTTATTTAGAATAACGTACATATCTCCCATGTTTTCACTGCTTCCTTTCTGCATTCGCGAAGATATTTGAGAAGGAAATTCTATCCGGAAAATTCTTCTCGATAATCCAACGTAAAACCTATGCATTATGCGAAAACCTCAAGGAGAAAATATGAGGTTCGCTAATAGCTTATCCTTTGTGTTATTCGATAACTAAACTTCATATTAAAAAGAAGAAAGAAGATCGGTATAATTAATTTTATGATAGTAAAAATTTTAAAAGTAATTAAGAATATTGCAAATTCTTGATCTCGAAACCAAATAAAACATTTTCATAATACAGGATTGGTTAACAGCATATTCAATCTTAAGATGATATTAAAAAGAAGAGAAGAAAGAAGATCGGTATAATTAATTTTATGATAATGAATATTTTAAAAGTAATTAAGGGAATTGCAATTTCTTGATCTCGAAACCAAATAAAAAATTTTCATAATATAATATGGGATTGGTCAACAGTATATTCAATATTAAGATGATTCTCGTATACATATAAAAAAAAAAGAAAAAATTAGATTTATTACATTATCCATCTCAATAATCTTTACCTATTATTTATCTAACACTTTCTTTTCAATTAAACGTTGTGAGTGTTGGTTTTATATGTGTGAATGCAAATGAGGTTAAATAAGCAAAACTCATTTGCGATGATAAAAATATAATATGAGCAGTTTTGTTTTTTATTTACAAAAAGCAAACAAAAAAATTAAATTACTTTTTCATATTAATATACACACAGTGTAATAAACAACATTTGGTAAAAATAAATAAAAAGAGTTCATAAGAAACAAGGATTTTTTCATTTATAGTAAATTGTCATATAGTGTATGATGTTTGAAAAAATGTTTAGAAGAATGTGCCAGAATAAAACAATTATATGAGTATCGTCAAAGAGGAAACATGGGTATATAACGGTTAATAAGAGCGAGAGAGAGAATTTTCTAGAAAGTGTCAATCAATTTTTTGTTTAAAATAGTTTATTGCGAGTTGTTTTCATTATTTAAATATTTTTACCTAAATATACTAATGTGTTAACTATTAAAAAATAGTAGAAGGTATTTATGTCCACTTTTATCCACAAACGTAACATAATTGAATTATTCACGTTACTCGAAATGTGTACCGTCTAAAAGTGGAACGGACCTATTTAATTGAACGAACCAAATGATATCTCGTCCACTGAATGAGAATATTTAATGACTCGGTGAAACCGGAACGCAGAAAAGCGAAACAGAAAAATCGCACGTATCGGATTGATAATTGCCCGTAATATCGAATGTAGTCAGTGAGCATTACCACGGTCAACGAACGTCACACGAGCCACGTAAAAATACCAGATAGATACGTCGCTGGAAATAGCGAACACCGATCCCTATCGCGGAACGGACAGAACCGGTAATTCTGTCAGATTTATTTTCAAACTGCGCGCCAACGCCGGGATACTTTTAACCGTGATTTCATGTCGTTTACGAATGGTGACAGCAGCAAAAAGAAGATCGTTCTATTCCAAACAGTTACCGACCATTGTAAAACCAGGCTGAAAGAGTCGTATAAGCAGGATTAACGAGGACCGTGAACCAGCCACGCACATCCTTTAGAAAGACATAAACAGGAAGGTTGCTTCGTTTATGTTGGCAATGAATTTTTCGGAACATCGAAATCTCGAAACCACGTGAAATTTAAGGAAGTCTCAAGCGGTGAGAATTCGAGATATTACACTCTGCTTTGGGATTACAAATTTATAAAATTTGGGTGAGGGAAAACGTGTAATGGACGTATAAAGAAAAATATTGTATATTTCATCGCTAACGTGACTTTTTATTAAGTGGTATAGAGCTAGCCAACACTGAAAGTTCCAAAATTGTATCTCTTGAAATCAAGTACTCCAAAATTGTATCCTCCGCTATCGATTACACCAAAATACTAAATTTTCAAAATTACAGCCCTGAAAATCCATTACTCCAAAATTCTAAATTTTCACGATTATATTTCTCGATATCCAGTATTCCAAAATTATATCCCTCGATATCCATTACATCAAAATTTTAAGTTTTCAAAATTACAGCCCAGGATATTCGTTATTTCAAAATTCCAAATTTTCACGATAATATCCCTCGATATCCATTACTTTAAAATTCCAAATTTTCACGATTATATCCCTCGGTATCCAGTACTCCAAAGTTCCAAATTTTTTAAATGACATCCCTCGACATCCAATATCGCAAAGTTACAAAATACTATTTCAAATTCCACATTTCTTTTCAAATTTATTCCACGCTTTTACATAAAATTTCGTATCTGAATATTTCATTTTCCACTATTACTACTTTTTCGCGATACTATTTTTCGAATCGATGCTAATTCGCCTTAAGGCCAGCCAAGAACCAAGTACGTTTCGAATTTTCGACATCTATGTCCACCACAATTTTGTCAAGTCTCATCTCCTTTAAGACGCGTTATCCAGGCCAGCAATAACCCAGCACAAATTCACACGACGATAAACAAATCAACTCCTGTCATAAATCCTTCAAGCTACGTAGATGAAACGAATTTTTCACGTCGTGACGTAACTTTGCAAGAGAACGCAAATGACGCGGCGTACACAATGGCCATGTCAGATCATGAAACTTTTCCCCTAGATTTATATTAATCCACCATCTGCCGCTATACAGGGTGGCCGCGAATAAATCAACGCTGCTTATCGAAAGCTATTTTTCTACCGAGATACCGAATGACCTAATGATCGCTATACGTTCGTCTTCGATATCTCGCGTCGAGATGACTACCCGTTTTCTACCTGTAAAATATGGAACACAGAGAATGTACTATGCACACGTAAAAATATCGCAGTAAATGCAGGAAAGCAATTTTCTGATTAAATTGAACCTCAAATCATTCGTCAACACTAGAATTATCATCTTGTAACGAACAACATTTTCTCAAAGTGTAATAAAATAATAATAATTATACTACTATAACTAAGACAAGTAAACACATATATAGAAAGTGTTCCATGACAGTATTAATTATATTTAAAGAAATTTTCTTAATTTTGCTGTCCAAGCATTTGATTAATACCTAATTTAAAAAGGATCCTTAAAATAATGTTTGAAAAATCGAAGATAAAACATATTTCTTCTACCTTCTAATAGTTATATCAAACAGCACTTACCGTGGATTACCCTGTCCCGAATAAAAGTAAAAATTAATTTTCTCAAAGATAACTTCGTCTTCTGGATAATAATAAAAATAAGACGTGAAACAAGTAATTCGAATTTATCGGATAGTTCTAGCTTCAACGCAAGTACGAACGTCTACCATCAAGTTAGGCCTGCGTCGGGAGATAAAATTCGAAACCAGCAGACCTCAAGCATATAGCCTCTAATTAGAGATCCCGTATTCCATACAACAGCGGACGTTCGATAAAAATCCTGTAAAATTATTTAACGTTCACCAACTGTTTCATTTATATCTGATATTTTATTCGTTCTCCCATTCGAGCTGTCTTTTAATAAAATGAGCAACGTGATAGTCACTCTCCTAAAGAGCCAGGCTCCTGATAAACTTCGCTTCCCGACTTATTCTCGTTTCGCTGAGTCCTGATGAATTTGATTAAAGCAACCTGGGTATCAATGCCTCGCGAATATAACTTTGCGTAAACTTCCCTTTCGTATCTTTCACAACGTATTAAAATACCTTCTCAAAACTGCCATTTATACAGCATCCAGTACCCTGCAATCTCTAAAAGGATTCTAGCTAGAAGTTGATTCCTCTGAGCAACCTAAGTGATTATGATCTTCAAAGAGATTTGAATTGCTTACACTGGAACGAGAAAAGCTTTCAGTAGACGTTACTCGTCTCTGAAATTATTAATAACCATAGAGGCTATACTTTAATAATCATAGAGAAATCCTTTAGATGTTTAAGAGGTCATTCTCGTGTAAGTGCTGCACACATTAACTT